TGGGTGGAAGTTCAGCAAATATTTTACATATAAAAGATTTACTTTTTAAAAAAAAATTAGATTCTTTTTTTTCAAATGTAGGTGGCATGTTAAGTTTTCTTTCTGTAGCAAAGACTGAGCATTTCTGTCCACTAGTGTTATAAGTGACTGATTGCATTACATCTTTTTTATTTGAAACAGAATAAGCAAGTTCCGCATCATAAGTATTGAAATGAAATAATTGCAAACAAGCGTTTGGGACAAAGGATGGATTAGAGATGTGTGAACTGGACAGGGAGTTTGACCCCCAGAACGATGACGTCATAAACATGATGCCAGAACGATGAGGCCATAATGATGACACCCGATTAGATGAACATGTATATGTCAATGTAGTTTTTATAAAGATTAACAACCTATAGAGACGGGGGTCATATCTGTAGCTATTTCTTTCTCCTACTTTGCTTTTTAACCCCAAAAGGAGTATAAACAATTAAAAATGAATTCCCAGGCCTCCCGGTCTCTAGTTATCCTCTTTAAATCTTTTCAACTCCTCTCCAGGCGTTTCGTATCTTCCTCATGCTCTTGATTATTTAGGGTTCCATAAAAAGCTTCTCATATTATATGTGGCATTTGTTCCATGTTGTTAAAATTAACATTTTTTTTTAAAATTTAATCTTATATTAAATTCTTACAGTGTAAAAAATTATACCTATTACGTAAGTGAAGTAAAGATAGGTTAAACTACGTTATATTTATGCAAAGAAATACTACTTATAAACACTTATTACCATCTGTTTTACACAGAGCTGAGATGAAAGATAAATTGACGTACACAGAGGGACTGGGTGGAGACCAAGGAGAAGAGAGAACAAGGTAGAGGGTTCGGTAGCATACTGAGAAAAGAGGACAGTTGAGAGAATCTTTAGTCCTCGTAGAAGAGAGAACAAGGGGATAGCATTAGTTGAAACACAGAGAGATGAAAGAGTAGGGGAGTGTATTTTGCCCGACCAAAGAGAAGAGTGATGAGAGAACATGTGAGAGCTCTGAGCAAAGATAACGGAAAGTTTTGATGAGAAATCAGGGGAGAGTATTTTGTAGAGATTAGCGGAGTAGAAAGGGGAGAGAACAGGGGAGCGGATTGTTACAGCCGGGAAATAAGTTAATCACTAGACTTAATTATAATCTCATTCTCCTTGTATCCAGAGGATAAATTGCGTCATAAGAAGCTGACATATGTATTTATTTATACCCTTTTTTCTTAAGATCAGTGGCGACGCTACACCAGGTCCCGCCGGGTCCCAGGACCTGGTAAAAAAACTTGGGACCTGGCAAATGACCTGGTAAATTTGTATTAGTTACTAATATTGTATATACGCTCATTAAGCGTAAACTACATTACATGTAAGAGAACTTCCCTTTTAAATGCCTTGATATGTTTAAATTTTTATCGACAACAAAAGTCAATATAACGTCATAAAATGTAGTATATTTAAATTTTAGTTTTTAACTTGTAAGAGGCCATCCATATATTACGTACGCAAATATCGCGAATTTCGACCCCCTTCCCCCCTGTTGCATGGCGTACTTTTTCAGTAACCCACCCCACCCCCCTCCCCCGCCAAAATAGCATACGTACTGACACTCAAGTTTTATTTTCTCTATATATATTTGATATATATATATATTTTTTTTAATACATTTATTTGGGACCCGCCAAATCTTTTTAAGACCTGCAAGGGACCCGCCATGTTAAATTTGATGGCGTCGCCACTGCTTAAGACAGTACGATCCTAAATGTGTCTTGACTGTTAGATATATGACTTAAAAGGTTGTTAAAAAATAGTGAAGACCGTTGTATGTAGGGGCACTGAAGTGCAGCCTAGTTTGGCATAAGTATAACGTCATAAACCAATACACTACGAGAGGCCCCTTCGACAACACGATTTTAATTACAGGAAATTCATTTTTTCTTTTTTGTTTTCTTTAAATTTTAAACAAAATATTATTTATTTTTTTTGTTTTTTTAGCCTAGTAAGACAATAAAAAAAAGACTAGACACATTTAAAAAAAGAATTACCCTCCAAAGCTAGAGAAAGATAGGCTTGGAAAGAAATTGTAAATGGCCTTTGCCCCTCTGGGAGTTAAATGAACTAAAAGGAAGAAAAAACGACGTAAAGTCCTATGATAAAAATTTGTGAACACATCCACTTGTGTTTTCATGGCACTTGATTTTACGTGCAAACACCTCGCATATATTTAGCTAATGCTTTTGGATCGCTTTTACTTAATGTAATATTTGTACTTTTTTCAGCCAAGACACGTGTGAGCTTTTACAATGGGTTGAATGGACATTGTAACTCTAACGTACAAATTATCAGAAATGTCCTGCCAAGTTTTTAACTAAATTAGAAATGACCTTTGCATAAAGTTATCTAGCCACGCCATGCCCCTCCTGACCTCTGTTTAAACAGATCCTACTCTTTAGATAACTTCAATTATTTTGTCTTATAGTTCAATAATTTTTAGGCAATGTATAAATGAACTTATGCGATTTGAAAACATAAATAAGAAACAAAAGTCCGTTCAAAAAAAAATTTAAAAAAATAAAAGTATATCGCCCATTGTTTTTTGACCAATATTGCTGACGCCGTGAACAACACAATGTTGACCGGCAGGAAGAATTCGACACCAGCTCATGGGAGATAACTGGAAAAAAAAACCGTGTGCAGAGTTTCAAGGGCCAGAAGTATCCGAATAGCTGTGCGCGAAAGCTGATAACGACTGTTGGTAAGTATGTTATCGCCAAGTCTTGCCGTGCGCAGAAGTAACGTCAATGGACACAGATTCGCGCGCAAAACTGACGAAATTCTTCTAGAACTTTCCACAGCATTGTGTTGCCTTTCGGCCATTGTGACCTTTTTCACACGGCCCATTCATGAAACAAGAGTAGAGTCATAGGTCTTGTGAATCGCCTCCATACATTTCGCAGACACACATATTTCAAACTCACTCACTCACACACACACACACGCACGAACACAAGCACGCACGCACCTAAAGCACGGACACACACACAACACACAATCAGTCAAACAATAAAGGTATCGACTTAATGTATAACACATTTTTACAAACGCATTATTTTACCCAGACTTCATTTTCTTATGTGAAATTAGTCTTAAATATGTTTCCCATTCCATTATGGTAAATTTAATTGGATGTGCAGGATGTGCAAAGAATTTTACATTTAAATGAAAAACGCCCATGAAGTCATCCTTTAAATTACACAAAATCGCTTTGTTAGTAGCCATCACAAAAGACTGGCGGACTCAAGCGATCAATCAGATGACCGGAAAATCAGAGGTGTATCGAAGAAAAAAGTTAGGGATAAATTAAGTGATTGATCAATATGACAGTAAAAATCAGAGATGAATCCATGTTAAAAAACATATATATACAACAATAATTCAAGTTGTATAAAATAAAAAGTGAAACATCATTTCCTACAAGGCCGGATGCCTATGAATGTGCCTGTGAAATTTCAAAACGCAGAAAGAAGAAAATATATCTCATATAAGAACAGAGTTAGGGCAAAATTTGGGATGTGGGTATAAATAAAGAAAGTTATTATGGTGCACAAAGTATAACAAAAAGTCTTATGCGCATACAAATTGGGATCAAATACGAAAAAAAAAAACCCTCACACTTTTTATAACTATATGTAAATTAATTAAGTAGCACCTGTTTATTTTTATACGATACATTTTTTTAATGTTTATTTAAAGGCACATATCGAATTGATAAATCACATATCGTCCACAAGGTTTCTTATCTGAGTACACAACTTTTTAAAAATAATAACAAAATGCAATGTTGTTTATGTTGATTCAAGAAAAAAATTGTATAGGATCCAGAATTATCAACACAATGAGTGATCGCGGGCCCTCAAAATATAAAAGAAGAAAAAAATGGGATACTAAACATGAATCTGGCCAGTGATACTTGATCAATGATAAATCGAACGAAGTGGCTATTCGGACCCGGGTCCGAGAAGTGAGAGGGTGGTATTAAAATTTGTAAAAAAATATTATTGTTAGGTTGTAAGACAAACATTTGATATCAAATGAAAGATAATTGAATGGACTTGGAGTTTAAAAGTACCCGGGTCCGAATAGTGGCGATGAGTGACCGGGTCCAATTTGACTCATGCTATTCACATGTCATTCGTTGTAGTTTATTTTAGTTAAACTGAAGAAGTAAGTTTACAAAAATATAGTCGATTCAATTATCTTTCATTTGATACCTAATTTCATCTTACAAATCCTACAATAATTTTAAGATATTTTTTTTAATAAACTCGCACTCTCACTTCTCGGACCCGGGTCCGAATAACCGCAACCTAAATAGAATGGTTTGGTTTCATAGAACAGCTTAACTACAAGGCTTGTACACGTGTACTTGTTAGTTTGCACTCTACTTTCTGTAGCTATCTGGTAGCTTTTTAAAGAGACGCAATTTTCGGCAATCAAGCAACGAGTTGCCTTTTGACAACATATAAAAATAAAATCGGTACCTACATAGTTAAAAATACATATATATATATATATATATATATATATATATATATATATATATATATATATATATATATATAGATATAAATATATATATATATATATATA